ACACACACACACACACACACACACACACACACACACACATTCCTTACCACCACCACCACTTCTTTTCTCTCTGTCAAACTAACCTCCAACTCCTGCTCTTCACCTCTATGTTTCCTGTCAAGGTGCACTGCCCACCCCCCTCCCCTCCCTCCAACCACCAACTCTGCCCCCGCAACCTTTTCTTTTTAATTCTTTCAACATCTATTACAGCTCTAAGTGCGTATGGTTCATTTTTATAAAAGTGTTCAGTGTAGAGGGCGGGATCTGCGTTGCTCTGCGGTAATCTTCTCATACCCAGATGTAGATGTGAAATATAGATGCGAGCTTTTGTTGTATTAGTTGACTTAAATGGAATCTCACTAGTAAAACAAAATAAAACTGTATTGAAGTATTCTCAAATTTATACATAATCATCTGAAAATTTGATGAACATAGGCATCTAATCTAAACTCACTCAAGTCAACTAGGTTTGGGGATCTACGCCAGAGATTGATCCTGTTTTCTCCCTGGTGGCTGCTGAGCACCCATACTATAGCGAACAATGATTAAAAAAGCTATTGAGTGTCAAGTTGTGACATTGAACTGGCTGAAAACACTTTATCGAGTTCTAAGCCACCCTTCATTTCTTTATAATTTGCTATGAAACCCTGAAATAGGTGTAGAAATGTACCAGCATACATGGAAATACAGTAGACATACATACAGCAAGCACAGTACATGAGGGAAAAACAGCTTGAGGTATATTTGGTATGACTACTTCTGCTCTTCAACACAATCTGAACTCTCTTAGGCAAGCTTTCCTTTAATTTTTAAAGGAATAGTTCTCCGGTCTTCTTGAAGGACATTCGAAGCTCTTCTTTGGATGTTGGCTGTCATTTATTCCATTCTCTGACGTACTGCTTCAGTTAACTTGAGGTCTGGCATCTGGGAAGGCCAACCTATAACTGATACTGTTTCATTGTGTGCTTTTATATCCAGGTATGCCTTTACTTCACTGGCAGTGTGTTTGGGATTGTTGTCATACTTATAAAAAAGTCGTTGCCAATCAGACACTTTCCACATGGTGCTGCATGATGGATCAAAATCTGATGTTACGGTTCTACGTTCATAATTCCATCAGTGTTTGACAAGATCTCCAACACACCACTGGCTGAATGCTTCTCTCCGGCCCCCTCTACACTTACTGTAATAGGATATAAATATTGGATATATATATATATATTATATATAGTATATATATTATATATATTTTATATATATATATATATATATATATATATATAATATATTTATATATTTTTTTTTTTTTTTTTTTTTTTTTTTTTTTTTTTTTTTTTTTTTTTGTTGTGTGTGTGTGTGTGGCATAGTTATACAAGGTAGGCAGCATTGACTGAGCATCAACACAGGAGAAACCAGAACTCCCAGAGAAAACCTACCCAAGCACACAGAGGACATTTAAACTCTATACAAGTTTGAAGCCTGGATCCAGTTGCTGCTGGAGAAGCAAAGATAATCAATGAGCCACTGTGGTGCCAAACAATCTAAAGCACTAAGTAATGTTACAGATTCAGAGAGGAATGTGGTCCTTTTGATTTTGTTCTGAAGCCATGATTATGGAAGCTGATGTATGGATGTGATAGAGAAAGAGTGAGGGTATTTACGGTCTTACAGTATGCTGTAGGACTCAGTTGCTTACAGTGCAACTTACTGTTGCATAGCTTAGCTAACAATGCAGTGACGTGGATACCGATGTTACATTCTTAGTTTTAGGGAAATGTGTTAAGATCGTAGGTACTGATGTTATCCTACTGTCCATCTTGCAAGTTGTACTTGATTTGTAGTGAAAATGCTGTTTTCTAGATTTTTGATGTTCACGTGTAAATGAAAATACAAGCTTGAATATCTATATTTATCACTGAAATGTTGCATATCAGTGAGGTTAAAAAAATCCATTATACACATTTTCATCATCAAAAGACATTAGTGAATCTAATTCTTTTGAGTATTTAAAACCTGCATTGTTTACACCCATGCATACTAGCTTTCAGGCTTCTATTGCGCTGCGTTTGTTGGCACATTGCTTTGAATCTTGGCGCATTACCACCACGTATAGATTACTGGGATTGTATGAAACCATTGGCGGGAATGTGTATTGCATCAGCCGTATGCTTGTGGATGGGCTTGCATGTGTTTATGTGCACTCATAAGAACTGATAAAAGGAGAACCCACTCACACAAATGTTCCTGCTATAGTGCCAATAGGAGTAACTTAAATTTGTGCAAATCAACTTGTTTGAAAATGTTATAGATTTAAATACATGCCTTATATTTCTTGTACAACTGTTTGAATGGAACAAACTTTTGTGGGCCTGACCCATTGGCACATCACTCAAGCTTAATAGGTAACCTTACGTATGCTGAATGCATGATTGATCTAATTTAGCTCCAGTTCAAGTTTTATTTTCTATAATGGAACTAGAGTAATTGCATTTACTGAGAATGATACAATGAAATAATTAAAAATTGAGTGTTTAAAGTCTTGCACAACGACTCTCAAATATGCTTCAGTGGAGGGTTGTTTAGCTCAGGTTGAATTAACATCAGTGTATCCTTTGCAGGGAGTCACACTGTTTGAGCTATCGTGTAGATGTTGTTATTGTTGTTGTTGTTTTAGCTCCTCTGCCTTGACAGTGATACATAGGGTGAAGGTTCAGAATCTGCTGCAACGCAAAGATGACAGGTTCGTTTCAGGACTCAGGACTTTGTTTTTTCACCACATCCCCCTTTCTCTCGCTCCCTCTCTCCTGCTCTCTTCCTTGCTTTGTGTCTCTCTGTGTCTTTTTCCAAGCTGATTTGGAGCCTTGCATAGTCAATTATGTAGAGAGTGAGAGAAGGAGTGGGGGCTCCAGCTTCCATATTTTGGTGTGTTATTAATATTGCATGAGCACTATTCTGTAGCGAATATCTAAGAGACTG